TACCACTGGCTATCGTGCAGGTCACGGTTCAACTCCAGGGAACTGTGCAGATACTGTACACAGGTAAGCTGAGGTCAAGGGATCGACCCCTGGGATCTGCATCGGCTACTGCCAAAGGTGAAAACTGTTTCACAAGTGTTCTTGGCTGTGGCCCCCAGTAAGCCTCGTGCCCACCTTTAGTGAAGGAGGGCCTGAATATCCACGTGAGGCCTGTTCTCGACAATCTTTCCATATGTGGGTACTCAGACAGTTGCAGCACGCCAGTTGGTTACAGAGCAACGTCAGCCGCCAGGCTCTTTCTACAAGCAAAGGGCTGCGCTGTAGAGTTGAACCTGGGGCTCAGGTGGTTGCGCCCTGGGCACACGCTGTGTTAGACCGACACATCACGGACTGGTAACAGGCCAATGAGGAAGCAGCATTATCACCACAAATGTGCCATGTTGCCCGTGACGCAATGACAATGCTCCAAACACTTGGAGGCTGGGTGGCTGCCTGGACGACCTAACTGGATGAGGCCCAGTCCAGTTTCAGAAACTGGGCCTGGGCGCAGAAACTTGGGGCCCAGCTGAGGTTATTGGGCCCCCCACACGCCTGGCCAGGACAGCCAGCAGCGACATACTTTCCATAAAGGAAAGTGTGAGCCCCTGGCAGAGGCAGTCTGGTCTTGGCAGGCAATGCGGACACTACTGCGTTGCTGCGCTAGTGTCTGCATGGGCGCTGAGGTGCGAGGGGCGCTGCGAGGCAGCGGGAGCACAGCAGCCATAGCGGGGCTGCAGGGGCGCAACGCGGGCGATGGCGATGGTGGTCTTCAGGTAGGAGGCGCATGAGGAGGTGATCATGGGGTGGCGAGGGGAGGAGAGAGCACGTGCCTGGTGTATGATGGTGGTCGGCATTGGTGTTGACGTCACGTACATTGGTGTTCGACTTTGGTGTGATCCAGTCGCTTGAACGTAGAAGGCTAGATAGGCTGAGTACAGTAGGCTTGGAGCTGAGCGCCAGACTGCAGGAGCCACATTGGATACAGTGTTGATGTGATCAGGCGTGTCGGCATTGGCACTTGAGTTATTAGTATTCCTCTTATGTTGATGGAATCTTGGTGCATTGTGCTTTCTGCTTGGCTGAGCAGCATCATCATTTTGGAAAGTCAGCTTTCAGAATCAAAATAACAATGATACGGTGCAACGACAGTTACATAGTTACACACCTCGGTGCGCGGATTTCCGCACACGTTGCCCGCCGCATGCAGCACACCACACAACGCACCGAAGTGCACCGCACTGCAAACATTAAGGTCCAAAAAAACAAAAAAAAAGTAGGGGTTCCGTAATTTCTTAGGGGCCCCGACTCAGCAAAAATGTTCAACTCCGACTGTGCCCTGGGCCCAAATTTTTTCTTGGGCAAGGGCTGCCGAATTTCGAATTCCGCAGCCCCTTCCTCCAAAAGTTTTGAAATGGCGAATCATGAAAATAAGGCTCATTCCAACTTTTTTTTTAGGCGGGGTGTGGAAACTGGCCTTCCCCCTCTCTTCTGCCAATCCCACACAGTGGTGAAAAAAAATTGCAAGAATGGGGTAGTTGCCCAATAGCGACCTGCCACACAATGCTTCGCAGAGTCATGAGATGTGCTTTACAAGGCCAGCCGACCACCAATATTTGTTGAAGATTGGCATCCAGGTCTGCATGTCGGCAGTTATGGGTTATGAACTTAGGATGAAGATGCCTGTAGCTCTCTCGTTTTTTTGTTTTTGTTTTCTTACAAGTACAATGGCCCAAGGGACTCACCACATGCACAAAAGACAGCATATGGCGGTGTATGGTTGCATGTTTAGCAGAAGATTCGTTCTACTAATGTTATATACATTTGGTGAGGGGTGGAGGGAGGCCCTGAGAATCACATGGAGACACGAACAGGGTCTAGCTGAATTGGTGACCCATAACTGCCGAGCTACAGCCCTGAACTCAAAGCCACAGCATATATTGGTGGTCCGCTCCCACCTCTTCCACATATGACGTGGCCATCCTGCTCGTTGAAGCATTGGTCCTCAATGACTCCACATATATTGTAGTGCAAGGAAAATGAGCGATAGCGAAATGACAGAAGTCCAGAATGCAAAATCACATTGAAAGCCAGAAAGTCCAATGCTGTCCAGAAAGCAGAAATGCACTGATATTCCACCAACGGAGAACCAAAGCACCGAATCCGAATGTCAATGAGAGCATACTCTCGCCACCACCGACATATGTACCCAGAGCCCTTCCTCCTACTTGGTGTTCAGCGCCCAGACTACAATCACACAGCTACTACCAGCCTACGAATTGACAATGCAACCTGTTGACGTCAGCAGCAACAACCGAAGTACATGAAGATGTCAACTTTGTAGACCATCGCCAAAACCAGGTACGTGCCCTCACATCATCCTCCGCATCTCTCTCTCTCTCTCTCTCTCTCTCTCTCTCTCTCTCTCTCTCTCTCTCTCTCTCTCTCTCTCTCTCTCTCTCTCTCTCTCTCTCTCTCTCTCTCCCCCTCGTCGTCTCCCTCATGCACGAAGACGACAACCACCTCCACTGGCTATCCAAGCCCAGCCCTGGCTATGTGGGGCTGGCTATGGCGCTGCCCTCAGCAGCGCCCTGCCTTCTCGCACAACCGCACGTGCACACAACATGCCCATGCGCTAACGCCGCAGCCCGCAAGAGCTAGCTCCAGCAGCACTGCCGCATCTGCACGCAAGTGGCCGACCTCCGACACGGGGCCAGGTCCCTTCCTATATGGAAAGTGGCGGGCGCTTTTCACTTCCTTCCCCCGCGAGGCCGAGTTTCCAGTAGCTTCAGTCTCAGCCAAAGTGGCCTGGGACCAAATTGGTTAGGCATGCCCAGCCACCCAGGCACAAACGTGTGGTGCTCCCTGCTTCGACCACCTTGCTGGAAGAGCATGGAAGGCTCACGGATATTTTGGATTCTCACGAGCAAGCCGGATGTAACCAACTGGCGCATGGCAACTGTCTGGCGCCCAACAAGATTTGCAAAAATTGATGACCTCAAGTCCCATCGAGATTCAGGGGGGGCGCCTTCACTTAGGGAGGGCACGCGCCTGCTGCAGGGCCTTAAGCCAAGGGGTAAACCGTCGCAGTTGGAGCCACTCAAGTTACCTGCAGGTGCCCTTGAATTGACGCGAAGGGGACCCATTGGTCTCTCTCTCTCTCTCTCTCTCTCTCTGGGGCACGTTCATTTTTTATTTCCGCACACAGGGCGCACATCCCTCAGCGAGCGCACTGCGCACAGCGCACGGGACTGCACACTGCGCACAGTGCGCGTGCTGTCATTCCAGCACACAGCGCACTGCGCACCGGCCCGCACCGCACTGCACACTGGTGCGCCAAGTATGGTTACAATACATCACAGTTAACAGGGAATACTCAGAGGATTGCACAGTCAAGGTTCGATATGCATACACAAAACAAGAACTGCGTTTGCCAAGAATAACAGAATAACAAGCAATTCTCACCTGAATGGGAACTTTCACCTTCTCAGCAAGGCCTTTAACCCTTCCAATCTTGGAGTCAATGGCTTTCTGACGGCTGTTCACCCATCGGTCAATATTTGACTCATTTGTGAAGATGACCTGGCCCAGCCATTTTATACATACATCAGAAAGTACAGTGGAATGCTCTCAAAGAAACACAGCAATTACACAATCGAGGCTGGTAAATGATCTGTTTCATTTTAACTTTTATGTAGAAAAAAGAGCAGATGGCTTGACATCATTCACATCATGGAAGCGATGCCTTAAAGAAAGTACACTGCACCTTTCTGACAGAAACACAGCACTTGTTCAGTGAAGGTTGAGCTGAAGTTCATCAATATGATCACACCAACTACAACAGCCCAGGATCACACCACTTCAGAAAGCATACCCAATAAAAATGCCCAGGACTTCAGCTTACCCTAAAAAGGTCAGGTATTGTTTTTTGTTCCAGTTTCTTTCTAGGCTGCTTTTCCTTGCGCCCGGGAACAGCTGATTTCCCGACCATTATCTCGCGCAACCCCAGCGCAAAATAACAAAAATTGAACAAAAAACTCTGGGAAGAAGAAAGATGTGGTAAAATTGCAATGCAAAGTTTGGAAACAACTTTTGGCTGAGGGTGACATCAGATACGGCATTGCATTGATGATATAAAAACGAAACTAAAAAGATCCCCGTTTAAACCACTTTAAGCCCCATTTATATTTCCCTTTCCCCCACAAACGGACAACACCCTGAAACTGAAAAAGCCCGGATTTGCGCTGCTTTCGCTGGGCCAAAAACAGCCCCTGCAATGAAAAAAAAGGAAGAAAACAAAATTCCTGTGGTTTTAACATGCCAGTGGTTCCCCGGGTGGGCAGAAGGCTGGTTGACCTGCACGAGTGCATGGCCAGTCATGCCCACCCGTGCAGCGCTAGTAGCCTAGCTTTTTCTGGAATAGGATTATATTCAAATGTGACATTGGTAGAATGTCTTGTGTGCTAAAGTACTGATCTACATGTGTTTCCAAACCAAGCACCATCCCGTTCCCTCCCGTTGCTCCTGATTTCATCAGCTGCTCGCACCAATTCCGCTCCAAATCTCTAGTAAAGCAATACAGGAAGTCAAATTTACAGCACCTCGAAGTTTTATTCTGCAGCCAAAAATTAACGAAAAAAGGGGCCGCTAGGCCCAAGCATACTTGGCATGCAACTAACTGGTCCTACTGCTAGGTGAAAAAACTAAGACATTACTTTTGGCTAGGTTGCACGCAAGCCAACGGCCGACGCTGCCAACAGGCTGGCAGCCAACTGTCGGCGGGGGATCAGAACGCCACCCTATTCACCATTCAGATACTGAGAGGGGGGGGGTCATTGCAAAGAGTAGCTTCAGGCAGGGGATGTTTCTTGTCAATCTGGCTGCATTAAGAGGGGATCAGAACACCACCCTATTCACCATTGAGATACTGATGCCCTGAAGATTTCATTTTTGAAAAGTTAAACAGTAATCTTGTGTGGTATCTCGTGTATCTCATTTAGGATAGTTGCATCGAACAGTAGATATTTTTTGTATATTGGGCTGCATGAGGTGGTAGGAGGATACATTTTTAACCACCAGAACTTCCGAGGCACTTTTCTCCGATGCTGGAAATGTGCTGCGCGCCCAAAAAACTAGAGCCGGCGCAACTTTCTTTCGCTGATTTCTGTTCTGCCGATGGAATGGATGCCTTGCTGAGATTCCCGCATTTTGCTGTGTTTTCTAAGTCTGTAAGTGTGTATGCCTGTTGACTTGCGTGCCTGTCTGAGTGCTTGTCCGCATGAGTGTGTGTGTGACCAGCAAGGGTACTTGCTTGTTTGGCAGGCCCGTAGGGCCGGTACTTACCTGTGGCCGTGGCATTGAGGAAAGTAGCAGGTAGGCCGGTACCGCACCCAGTAGCAGTAGATGTGCCGGGTACTCGAGAAGACAAAGTTGGCATTTTTAGAGGCCCAGTAGCGGTAGGCTAGGTCTAGGCCGGTACCAGTCCATCCAGTCTGAGTCTAGAGCCTGTACGGGCAATATCAGAGTCTGCAATGATGTTTCCCTCCGAAAGGGAGGAGGTACCGGTTGCTTGGGAGGCCGAGCGGCCTGGAAGTCACCGCCCAGGAGGCAAGTAGGCCGCTATATCAAGAGGCCGAGGCAAGAGCTCGGCCTCGTTCTTCAGTGTGCAAGTTTGGCGACACGCTGCTGGAGCGCTGGCTGGAGTGGCGCTGGGTACTACAGCGCTGCTGGGAGGAAGAAGCCTGGAGCTTCCACCTTGGCTATGGTGGATCTCTACCGGTAGGAGGAGGGAGAAGGGGACCAAGAAGGAGAGTGGTGGGGTACTTACCTGGCTATGGTAGACACCATCTTCATCACCTTGTTAGGCGCTGCATCTGGAAGGCCCCAGGGGGGGTAGTGCCGCGTCAAGGAAGCTTGGGACAGAGTCAGGCATGGCGGTTGAGTGGGCAGCGGCATAGCTGCATGGAGTTGACCTGGGGACAGAAGGGCAGCAACATAGCTGCTTTGGGCTGTCCTACAGGAGGGAGAGCCCTCAGTACTCCGCCATAGCCTTGGCCTGTATGTAGAGGAAGAGGAAGGGAGGCCATGGCTATGGTGGACCTCATGTTGTGCCTGCAGTAGAAGTGGGATTCGGACATTGATTCTGGTTCAGCCATTCAACATTATTATTGTTATTTCTTGTTTGAATAAGAGGGGAGGAGATAAGGAGGAGGAGATTGGTTGGCGAGGAAGAAGAGCCTTGTCATTGGTCTATGCTGGAGTACATCATCTTCTTCTTCTTCCTTACTTCTTCTTCTTCTTCTTTCACTCTCTCTCCTCTCAAGTTCATTCATTTCTTTTTGCAATTGGACGGCATTGTACTTTCTGATGTTTGTATACTTCGAAATTGGCCAGGATCGTAACAGGCTGCCACTACTGTGTGTCCAGTACTTCGGCGGAAATGCCAAAATTGCAGCACTTCGTGCCTTAAGGGTTGCTAGAGTCAGTCAAGCAGAAAATACAGGTAGGTCCTGCGCTATCATGAAGGGTCAAAGAGAAAATAATTGGTTGAAACAAAGTTCGACCATGACTGGCATATAAATGATTCTTCAATTTTCGCCATCCTATTCACCTCTCAGATCTTGATTCTCTGAATGTTTCATCATTGAAAAGCAAAAACATTATCATGGACTGTATCTTGTGCTAATCAAGGAGAGTAACTTGGGATGAGAAGTATTTTGTCAATCACATAGGGAATATAAAGGCAACTCTAATCACCGTTCCAAACTTACCATTGAAAACACAAAGAGCAATCCCACATGGTATCTTGTGTATCTTTGATTAGTAACCAATTAAGGAGCGCAAGTTTGGAAATGAGATGTCTCTGGCCGATCAGTCTGCATGAGGTGGTAGGGGATACAAAGGCAACCCTGTTCACCATTGAGATCTTGTTTCACCGTTGAAAAGAAAACGTAAAACTTGTTCAATGTCTTGGACGGCGGCGCAAAAGCTTTAAAAACAGCAACTTGAGCAATGGTTAGATGAATTGGGCAGATAAGCGCTCTATTGAAGCAGAATTCAAGGTTAATGAAACTGATATGAAAGAGTTTTATAAGCGACGAACGTATCTTTAAAAAACAGTAGTGCAGGAGGAAAGTCTGCTGTTTGAAAAAGCAAAACAACCCATAGCACCAAGAGCTGATCCAAAATCACCTACCTACTCGATTCAGAAGCATTGGCTGGCTGTTTTATTTGCTTGAAAACGTGTAAACCAAAAGTTAATTACCAAATATGATGTGAGACCTACTCCTTCCCATCCTCAAAACATTCGCCACAGTTTTTTGCATAGTAAAATGCAAGTTCATCTGTGTGGTTCATCGGGACCATAACTCGTGTTTGCATACGAAGGATATAAGTGCATCTTACAAATCCATGCTTCTTAAAGCACAAGCACACAGCCACCTGGGCCGCAGGCCTGACACCTCGATTTCCACAGGCCCGGAACGAGACACCGGCCATTGATGAACTTGATCAGCGCGGGCCCTGATAGTACTGGTGCTACTTTGTTGTGATGACAAAATGTTTTTCTACAAGGATAGAGCTGTGTACAGGTGGTTTAAGCCAAGCTCCTTGATAGGGGCACAGTGCTGTATGAGTCTCGGGTGTATCCTTCTTCGCCATCCTTTTCCGTGCACTTCGCGTCTAAATCGAGAAGATTGATTTTGTTTCAAATCAAAATTACTTGGGCTGTTGTGGGGGGCTAATGACCCCTGGACTGGTGCCGGCCAACCAGTCCGGTTGGAAGCCAAGCAGTTGGGTGTTGCCAACCGTCAGCCATGGTACACTGATTTTCGGTTCATACTCACAGGCGCGCCCCTGCCTGGGACACCTCAAACAACTCAAAAAACCTGGAGTTTTTCTTTTTTATTGGATTGTGTGTGGGGCATTTCTGCGCTCACCACCCATTGTTTTCGCCTTTTCCAGTGTTGCCAGTCGGAGGGGTGGGGTTATTTCTTTTATTTTGATTCTTTTTCTTTGAACTAAGGAATTTGAAAGCAACCTTCAGCCAAGGTTGTTTGCAAACTTTGCATTACAACAGTACACGACATTTTTTGGTTCCAGGCTAGGGTGAAATCCCAGGTGCCTGGGTACGCAGACCCCACCAGGGAAGGCGCCCAATGCCCCAGCGGGTTTCCCGCTGCTGTTAGCGCCAACTGACAAAACAATGGAAAAGTCCTTGTGACGGGCCTCAGAGACAGTAGGGGCTCCGTGGGGCCTCCAGACCCCGAAAAAGAAATTCCGCGAAGGCCCTACCAGCCCCGCGCTTGGGAAAAAAAAGGACGATTCCAGACCCTCGGTCTGCACGATCAAGGGCCTGAAATCACCATTTTCTCCACTTTGCCCACACGATCTCGCGTGGGCATTCCAGTTTGAATGCTGGCACAAAATTGCACAGCCACTATTTGAAGCAACCAGCTGTCGTCTATAACCCGCGCCCACTGCCTGCTGCCCATTGCCGGCTGCCTGTCGAGACCCGCCATCGCCCAAGGCAAATGCATGTGTGTGTGCATGTGTGCGTGCATGTGTGTGTGCGTGTGTCACAGCCTCCTCCTCCTCGTCGTCGTCCTCCTCTTCCTCCTCCTCTTCCTCCTCCTCTTCCTCCTCCTCTTCCTCCTCCTCTTCCTCGAGAACCCCCATATCCGCGATAGTGTGATGTGTGTAAGGGAAACAAACAAAAAAAAAAAAACGGACGGATGTCGGACGGCAGCCATCATAGACTGCAGGCCTAGTACAAGGCGACAGAAAGTCCGCGCGCGTGCGCGCGCGAGAGAGAGAGAGAGGCGATGGTGTCGCGACCTCCTCCTCCTGTTTCTTCTTTTTCTTCTTCGTAGTGGTAGTACTACTTGCACGCGCGAGAGAGAGGGAGACAGAGAGAGAGACCATCCACCCTGCCTCCTCCCTTCACCGGCCCCCTTCTCCCAGTTTCCCTCCCTCCATCATGTCCCTCCACCATCGTCTCCTTCACCTCCATCGTCCCCCCTCCTCCCTCCATTGCCTGTCCACCTCATCCCCTCCCTCTCTTCCTTACATTACCCCTCTTTCCTCCATAGCCTCCCTCCACCTCAATTGTCCCCCCTCCTCGCTCCATCACCTCCTCCACCTCCATCGTCCCCCCTCCTCCCTCCATCACCTCCTCCACCCCCTCGGCATCCTGCACCTCCATCGGACCCCCTCCTCTTCTCCATCGCCTCCATCTCCACTGTTCCCCCTCATTCGCATCCTCCACCTCCAACGCCTCCTCCACCTCCATCGCCCACCCCTCCTCCCTCCATCCCCTCCTCTTCTCCATCACTGCCCCCTCAACCCCACTCCCCCCCCCCTCCAACGACTCCGGCCCCCCCAGGCTCCTCCACCTCTATCATCCCCTCTCCTCCCTCCATCCCCTCCATCACCTCCCTTCATCTCCATTGTCCCCCATCCTCCCTCATTCCTATCCTCCACCTCCATCGTTGCCTCGACCCCCATCGCCCCCCTTCCTACCTCCATCCCCTCCATCGCCTCCATCTCCATCGCCCTTCCTCCTCCATCTCCATCACATCCTCCACCTCCATCGCCGCCTCCACCTCCATCCCCCCCTCCTCCCTCCCATCTCCTCCTCTTCTCCATCACTGCCCCCT